CCCCCCCCCGATCGTTTTTCCCTCCGTCGCGTTTTTCAGCTCGCCTCTTTTTCCCTCCTCGTGAGCTCGCGGAAACCCGGAGGTTTCTCCCCCGTCTCGGAGCGACACTTCTCAAGCGAGACGTGAACACGTGTTTCACGCATGGCGGAGTCGAGCCAGTGTTCAAGTTCCGCGAAGCGTTCGTGGATCGTCGTCGATCGTACGACTCTACGTCCGATAGTGGAAACTGGAAGAACGAATCGTCGAAGACTTCGGGAACTTTGAAGATCGTGACACGCGTTCTGCGAAACGAGAATCGTGTCAGTATCGTTACGACCCAGGATGACTCACGGCGCGATCCGTGCTGCAACTCGATTCGCGTGGGTCGACGCGTCGCGTTTGAACTCCGTCGACGCAAATGGAACCGTGCATCATCTTTCCAACACCTGTTCGCCTCTCAAAGAGATCCGCGTTGGATTGTTACAAATTCGATCCGAGATCGACGAGACGAATAAACTCGCGAGCGGCAGAGTCGAGTCACGTGGATCTATCTCTGTGTCTGTAGAAACGAAGGATCTGTCCTCGAGATATCTCGGCAGAAGATACGCTGCGTACGAACGCGCTTCGCGGAACACCCGTTAGGTCGGCTCACATACCAAACACGTGTAGACCACAAAAAGATATTGGTTTCCGCCCAGCGCGATATTAACGGAAAAGTTAGAAACGGCTTCCGAACGTGTCTATCGACAGTCCTCCGTTCTCTCTTTCTCTCGAAGCAAGAAATGATCAGACGGCGGTTCGTTCGTTTTAATTAAAGTCGCACTACTTAGTTTTCGAACGAATTCCGAGTTGGACGTCGCGTGAAATCTTGAAAGGACCGTGTAAACGAGCTCCAGGCACGGTGTCCCGAGGGCGACTGAACGTGAACGCTGAACTGAACTTGATCCGCGGAACGGCTGCGGGGAAGGGAGGATCCCGGTCCCGATCCCGAGCGAGAGAAACACGTGGTGCGGTCCTCCGCGTGCGAAGAAGGGAACCCGCGACTGCGACTCGTTGCGTCATTTGGACGCGATACTTGTGCTCGGCCTCTACTCTCTTTGCCGACCGATAGAACCGATCTCGATCGAACTTTGACTATCGTCGTTCGTTCCGACGATGCTCTCTCACGATCTTCCAAACAACAAATTAGAATATTGAGAAGAAGATTTTACGGCTGGAAAGTTCGTATCGCCGAGGAGCTATCCGAAAAAAAGAGTTTACGCGTGACAGAAAAACTGAGATAAACGATAGCGCGTGAGAGAGGAAACGGAGCGGGGACTGAGAAAGGGTCAGAGGGCAGTGTCCCGAGCCGAAGGGGCGAGCCAGGGAAACATTTGCATTTCCCGTTCACGATGCCGCGCCGAGGAACCGACAGTCCGTCCTCGAATCGATTCCGACACGAAGTCGTGCTCGCGACGACTTTGAAAGACCGCTTTCTTATCTTTCACGTTGTTCGAGCGGACTTTCTGAACCCGTGTCGGTGCATTCGAATTTTTTCTCCGAAGCGGGGCTTGAAAGAGGAGGGAGGAGTAACGGAGGGAAGTTTATGGGAAGACAGCTGTTCTCGAAGCATCTGGAGTTTGGAAAGAGGAACTGGAAGAGTAAAAATCGTTTGCGTGTGGTTCGCACGCGTGGGAGCGAGAGTCGACTACCGAATGAAACGTTGCAAAATAATGTATCGGAAAAATATATTTTTATAAATAGAACATTTGAGAAACGATGAAATGAAAGCGACGATGAAACGAAAATAGACGAGAATACAATTAATATTCTATGGTGACGGTCTTCGTCTTGAGGTACTCGTTCAGAGCCTCCTGTCCCAAGTCTTTGCCGAAGCCGGACATTTTGAAGCCACCGAAAGGCGCGGCCACGTCCGTCTTGTTGTAAGTGTTGACGAACACGGTTCCAGCTTCGATTTTCTCCGAGAATCGAAGAGCCTTGCCGATGTCCTTGGTGAGGACGCCCGAAGCGAGTCCGTACTCCGTGTCGTTCGCCCTGGCGATCACCTCGTCCATGTCTCTCGAGTCGAACTTGGAGATCACCATGATCGGACCGAAGGATTCCTCTTTCGCTATGTACATGTCGTCCTTCACGTCCGCGAAGACCGTGGGCTGGAAGTACCAGCCCGGACGGTCCACTCTCTTTCCACCGTACACCAACGTGGCCCCCTCGTCGACCCCGCGCTGCACGAACTCCAGGAGCTTCTCCAGATGCGCTCTATGATTCTGCGGTCCGTGCACGGTTCTCCTGTCCAACGGGTCTCCTATGGAGATCTTCTTGACCTCCTCCACGACTCTCCTCACGAATTCGTCGTGAATCCTTTGCTCGACGAACAATCGGCCAGCGGCTATGCAGTTCTCGCCCTTGTTGAAGAACACGCTGCTCATCCCGATTTTCACCGCCTGCTGAAGGTCGGCGTCCTCGAAGATGACAAGAGGACTCTTGCCACCCAGTTCCAGCGAGACTTTCTTCAAGTTGCTGTCCGCGCAGGACCTCATTATCGACTTCCCGGTGAACGTGGATCCGGTAAATCCCAGCTTCCTGATCAGAGGATGTTCGCATATCGCGTTACCGGTCACACTGCCGTTCCCGGGTACTATGTTCACCACTCCGGGCGGGAAACCGGCTCTCGCGGTCAACTCCGCGAACTTCAACGCCGTCAACGGAGAGGTCTGTGCCGGCTTCATTACCACCGTGTTTCCCGCTGCCAAGCAAGCTGCCATTTTCCACGAGAGCATCATCAGTGGATAGTTCCAAGGTGTGACGAGACCGCAGACGCCGATCGGTTCCTTCCTGGTGAACGTCAGATTGCGATTCGGCCTGGCGTGGGTTATCGGTATCGTGGAGCCTTGGATCTTGTCGCACCAGCCCGCGAAATATCTCCAAGTCTCTATCGACATCCCTATGTGCGTCTTCAGAGCCAGAGTGTACACCGCGCCGGAGTCCAAGCTCTCTAACGTGGCCAGCTCTTCCTTGTGCTCTTCCATCAAGTCTGCCAATCTGCAAAGACGAGAAACACGTGAAAACTTCGACTTGGACGTACCGTTGTCGACAATTCTAAAACACTCACTTGAAGAGAAGAGCGCCGCGTTCCCTGGCGCTGATCTTGCTCCATTCTCCTTCCTCGAAGGCTCTCTTGGCGGCCTTCACCGCCCTGTCCACGTCTTCCACGGAGCCGCTCTCGACCGAACAGATGACGGTCTCGTCGGCAGGGTTGATCGTGTCTATGGGCTTCGCCCGGCCGTTCACGAACTCTCCGTTTATAAAAAGTTGCCTCGGGAACTTGAGGCTCCTGTTGTTCGCCCGTATCTCCACGGCGTCGTATTTAACGTCTTTCGCCGCGGAGACGCCTCTGGCCGTCAGCACGACCGTGCCGGCGAATCGAAGAAACGAGGGAGCCATGAAGACGTCGATGTTCTGCAAGCTCACGCCCAGATTGTCCTTCACCTCTTCCACCAGTCTGACGACGTCCATGCTTCCCGCTCCTGTGAAAGAGAGAGTGTCCGATGTCGACGTCGCCGATCATAGAATCGCGTCGTTTCTACATACCGCAAGCGAAGAAGTCCGTGTCGTCTTCGACGTCCACGTTCAAGATATCCGTCCAAATGCGTCTCAACGTTTCCACGGATTCCCGCTCCTCCTCGGTGAAGTCCACCGCGGTCTCTTCGATCTTCTGCCCGTACTTGCTGGCGGGGATGGTCCTGGTACCGATCTTTATTCTCTCCACGTTGACGAAACGGTCGTCACTGGCGTTGATCAACAATCCGCCCTCGTGGACGATGCCCGCTCTTTCGGCCACGGTCACTCGAGTCTCGTGATCCGGTATCTTCGTGTCGTTCCATAAACTGGACCCGAAGAGACGGACTTCCTCGCCGTCGATCACGGTCCAGGCTCCCGGCGTGCTGTCGAGGCCGCGAATGAAATCGTGAACCTTCTTCGCGGGCTTCGACCAATCTATCTTCTGGAGATCCTTCTTGTTCAGCATCGGGTCGTAACTGGCTCCCTCCGCGGGTTGAGGAATCACGGGCGCCGTACCCTTAGCCACGAGGTCCACGGCCTCGGCGATGGCTTTGATGCCTTCGGGATACAGGAAGTTATTGTACAACGAGTCTACGGTGTCGTTCGGCTCGACTTTGCACGATCTCTGGAGCAAGATCGGCCCGGTGTCGAGGCCGTCGTCTGCCCAAAAGATGGAGAACCCCGCGGTGTCGTCTCCTTCTATCAGTGTCCTGAAGACGAAACGGAGACCGCTAAGTCCGGTCTTATCGTTCGTAGAAAGCTAATAAGTCAACGAGAGCGCGTTACGCGGTGATAACGTAACGCGCACGTAATCTGAACCGGTTCGCGGCTTCGTTTACATTGGCATTACAACGTCTGATAAGCGACCTTTCGCCTGTTACGCGACGCAAGCGATGTCTCGACACTTAATTACCGCTACCGTTAATTCAGAGCCGGAGCTCGTACCGACCAGTTTATGGCGCTGGCTCCACGGTGCCTGGGAAGCAGAGACGGATGATAGCATATGCTCCGGTGACGAGGATGGTTGATCACCTCCATCGGGATGAACTGGCTGCAGAACGGAAGCACGTTCAAGTCGACCTCGATCTTCTTGTACAACTCGAGGACCTCCGGTAAGGCCTTTCCCTTGCTCCTCCAGGTTTTCAGTTTGAACACCGGGGTGTCGTCGGCTCTCGCAGTCGCGGCTGTAAAGTCGATCGTATCGTCGTTTAGATTCGATCGCGCGGCTATTCCTCCCGCGTTCGAACTTTACCCAGAGGATCCTCCCGATTCCCGTTGTCGGGGATGGTGAACACGCCCGTGATCCGGTGACCATTCTGTTTCAGCAGCTTGTACACCTCGGCTGCGAAGGGACTCTGCCCGATTATCGCTACCTTCAGCTGTGCCATCGCCGTCTAAACAGTAGGTCGCGAGTACACGTAATAATAATTATTATCGAACCGCGGATCGGCGTTAAAAAGATTTCGGAGAAATTGGTTCCCATTCAGTCCCGTGGCGCGTTAAATCTAAATTAATTCTACGCCACCCTTTGGTCGACCCATCTATCTAGTGCAGAGTGCAGATTATAGCGTTCATAAACATAGTGTACATACATACCTATTTAGCAACAGGTTTCACGCTCTCTGCCGACTTTCACTGTGCTTACAAACGTGCTGCAAAGAAAAGATATATACGTCTAGTGAGGTGAAGCTGTGCAAGAGGAGAAACAGCTGTACGACGAAGAGAGACGAAAAGCAGAATCTACCACCACTTGTTATTTATCTACTCCGCTCCACTCTCGCCGATTTCCGACTAGCTTAACTAGCTTTCTACCGTCCGGGCGTGAACCAGCGACGCGCGGCATTACCTAATCACCGTACCTTCTGTCTACGCGCGTTTACCGTGATTTTCTAGCCGTGATAGTCTCTGGCCGACGAAACAATATCGAGATCGTCTCTCGCGTTTACGAGTCGTTTCTCACGTGTCGCTGATTCTGCTCGTTCGAGCGATGCGGCCGAAAAATAGTATTTACGAAGATGGTCGCAAGTATTCAAACAGGGCTTACGGTGTTGACGACGTATGAGCGTATCGAGAATAAACTCTTCGGGAGAAACATCGAACAGGTGACGCGATCCTCTCGTTTGTCTCACGCGGTTCGACGATCGAGCGGCTACCAACTCCGCGGCTTTCGACTGACTGATCGCTGCTGAAACGCTCTACGTTTATATACGTCAGCCAATCGCCAGGGTCAGGAACATTTTTGTTGCTCTTCGGTTTATCGTTCGTTCGATTACTATTTCGGTTCGTCACTGCTACGCGAGCATTTCTCTATTGAGACGTATTTTTGAGCGGGAGAATCGCGTTATCGATTTCCAAGAAGCGCGAACTGGAAGTCGATCGCGAACAGCGGTACTGCGTAAGAGCGGACGTGTAAGCGGACGTGTAAACGAGCGATAGAGATTCGATATTTCAAAAGTATGTAGCGTTTTGTTTACACAGCGAATTGGGATTTTGCCGGAAATTAGAGATTACGACAGCGGCCGTGATAAGAGGTATCTCGATCTCCCGAATAACTCGAAGGAAAGGCGCGCGCGCGCGCGCGCATGCATGCTCGATCGAACCGTTCTCTTTTCTACATAAATTATCGTCGGCTCGAAGTTGCAACCGGTTTGTACGAGTTTCGCCGAAAGATCCCCCCCGATCATGTCGGTCGCAGGTCATCGATAAATCGTGTTTACCCGACGATTCGTTTCCAGTTCTGGTCGGTTTCGGGTCTCGGGTATCCGGATCGTTGCCACGCAGGAACGATCGATAAAAGTTCACGCAATCGCGTAGCCTCGACCGCGACAAAGGAAGGAGATCGATTAGGAACGACGTCGTCTCAAAAATATCGTACAGTCATTTTATTTCATCAGAGTACAGATTAAACGCGTACAACGATCGGACGTGCTCTCAGTACCTGGGCACTTTGAATTCCGATGCCCCGTCCAACACGCTCGTCGGTTTCCTCTTGTTCATGATGTTCTGAATCTTCTGCCATTCCCTGTCCAATTCCGCTTTCTCGTTCTTCTCCTTGTTGTACTTCCTCGTCCTCCTTCCATCGGCCATTTTCACGCCGTATTGGAACGCGGCTTTCGGCAGAGCCTCTTTGTTGTTCATGTACTCGCTGTACTCCTCGGGCGTGTCAAAGTCCCACCTGCCGATCGGACCCTTCTTGTTACCCAGATCCATCTTCGTGTAATCGACCTCGTCGTCCGAGTCGTCGATCGCGTCCTGCATCTCGTCCAATCCCGGATAACATTCCGCGTAGCCCTCCGGTTCCGCGGCGAGTTTGTTCAGCAGCGCGCCTTTCTTCGGCGCGTTCCCGTCCGCGTTGGAAGACGTGACCGTCGGCATCTGCGGAGCGTTCGCCTTGTCGTCCGTGTCCAAGCTGCTCTCCGGCTTGTCGAAGTACGAACCCTTCTTCTTTTCCCTAGACTGATCCTTCTTTCCGATCGACGGGACATAATCGCCAATGTCACCGTAAATGCTCTCGTCCTGCGGCCTCGGGGCGATGTCCATGTCGTTCATGTCGTCCGGCCTCGATCGTCCGTCTTTGTTCTTTTTTCCCTTCTTCCCGTGACGATTGCCCTGTCGCAGATACGACAGAATCTGTGCCAGTTTATTGATCACTATGTCGTTGGTCGTTAACGTGGGAGTATTGTCGACGGTCGGCACGTCCGCCTTGCTCCTGATCAGCGTCGTCGGTATGTCCACGTCCGCGTTCTCGTCGTCCAATTCTATCACGTATGCCATTCGCCCGGGCGTGAACAACTCGTTCCTCTCTATCTGTTTAGATTTCATCGTCATCACGGTCCTGTAGACGTTCCTCCCTATCTTCGTCTTGAACTGCATCTCGTCGTCCTTCTTCTCCGGTTCCTTCTTGTCTTTCTTCTCCTTCGGCTTCACCAACTTCTCCATCTCCTGTTCCTGCTCGTGCTCCTTTGCCTCTATCTCACTGCGCACCTGTAAAACGAACCGTTATCATTACCGAAAGACGACGACCAAGGATCGTACTACCCACCTTTTGAAGAAGGGCATAATCGAGGCCCTTGACCAAGTGAGTGTGCTCCATGTCACCTCCCAAGTACTTGGATTGTTGTATCATTTGTCGCCTCCTCTCGGCCGCGTCCATTCCCGATTTCAAATCCGGCGCCACGGCACGGTAAGCGCTCGTGCTGTTCATAGGATCCTCCGCCTGGTAATCCTGATTTGTCCCATCCCTACGTTCCCTGGCCCTGTCGCGATACTTCTCCGCGAGTTCTGCCATTTTATCCTCCTCCTGCTTCTTCAGCTTCGCGTAAAAGCTCTTCTTCTTTCTTCGCAGTTCGGCTCTACTTCCCCCGGTGACGTTGGGAGTCTGTGCAGTCTTCGCGCTGGCATCTCGAGCGGTGCCTGGGACGGACGCGGGTGTAGCCGACGGCACGGATGCTCTGGGTGTCATCAACAATTTCCGAAAATCATCGTTCGTCAAACGAACGGACATCTCCTCTTCCGTTGTCTCTGGCATTTTGCTCGGCTTTGAAATCTACGTTTGAATCACTGAAACTTTCGAGGTTAACTCGACGAAATTGACGGAGAAAGGAAACCAAGTCTAGCTCCGACGAGTTCCAATCGTCTGGACAAAGCTCTCTGTTGGTACCGTTGCTGGCACGCTCACATCGTGAAACGAACAGTGATTATTTATGAAAACTGACTTTCTATCGTTCTGTCGTTCGACACAACTCAAGTTTCGTGAAATCAGCTGATCGACCAGTGACGGCAGTACCGTCGTGGGATGCTTAACCCATGCGCACTACGAGCCGCCCTAAGAAAATAATTACGACCTTCCCTGCAGGTAACAACATTTATCTATAACTTTCATTGGAAAAAATTTCTTTATTTTCCAAGATTTTACATTATTGATATCAAGGATAACATGTATAAGTCGTTCTTAAAAATTAGAAACAGAGTATGTAGCATCTATGCAATCGACGTAACGCATCGTGGCTTTTCCAAATTGCGGGTTCGCAACGTAGTGCGCGAAACGAGTGATCCCATTGCACGCGGCACCGTATTCTCCCTGTTTATTCAACGCGATTACGGCACCGGTGAACGTAGGATAGTGTTCCGCGATTCGTTTGATAGCCGTAGTCGCTGCTTCGGTGGGAGTAGCTCCGCGTCGCATTTCCTCCACGGCCAGGAAACTGAAACGTTATCCTCGGTCGTAAAATATCGCGCGCGATCGAACGTCCGAGACGAATTTTAAAAATAAGTCTACCTTGGTAAAAAGCGCATCATTACGTCTCCTTCGCCGGTGCCAGCCGCCGCGCCGACTTTCTGATCCGCGTACGCGCCTGCCCCAGCTATGGGCGAGTCTCCGATACGTCCGGGTATTTTATTCCTGGCTCCGTTCGTCGACGTGCCAGCCGCTATGCGTCCGTTCGAATCTATAGCTATCACTCCGATGGTATCGTGATTCTCTTCGTTCACGTACGACTCGTGTTCCTCCGGAACGTTTGCGGTTACCGAACGATAAGGTCCGCAACTTTTCTTCGGATCCGGAAGTACGTTCTAAACGAATACGGAAATGGTCAACCATTGTTTCTCGCGTTACCGACGAGCCCGTACCTTCCAAAAGTTGGGCTGACAGCTGTTAGCTTTCCAATCCAACCACATTTTCTTCGATTCCTCTGTCTGTAAAGATTCCTCTTTGAAACCCATCTCCACGGCAAACTTCGTAGCCAGTTCTCCGCCTAATAGCGAATGTTTCGTATTTTCTAGAACCTTGCGAGCAACGGAGATCGCATTCTTCACGTTCCTCAATAGTCCTACACCGCCGACGTCCATGGTGACCCTGTCTCAAGAAACGCGTCAGTTTTAAATTACTTGCACGTTTCCATATGACGGATTGTGCGAATAGTACCCATCCATAATTAGAGCATCAAGAGTTGTCTCCCCGTTCTCATCTGGACTGCCTCCGTATCCCACGGTCTTCCTACATTTCTGTTCTTCGCAAAGACTGCAGCTTTCTTCTATAGCATCCAGAGCACTCCTCTTCTCGACGTTAAGAACGTTCCATGCTGCAAGACGATCATCGTGCTACACGTGTAATATTACTTTCTGTAATTATAATGTTTAGTCGTGCGTTACCTCGTTGCGTAGCTTGTTCATAATTCCACGTAATGACTACCAACGGAGTGCTCTCGTTAGAAGCAGACACTTGTTGGCAAGAACAAATAGAAACGGCCAGGAGAAACGTGAATACGAATGTCATGATGAGCGTTTCGCTAAATGATCGAAGACTCAATTGAACGTTGATTGCCCGTATAGCGGTGCACACGGTGGGGTTATATCTCACATATCGCGTTCTGTAGAATAACAACGATACGTGACACACATGTGCGCTGATCAAATAAAATATTCCACTCCCTCCATAGATCTTTAAGTAAATGTATAAATTAGTTTTAAGACTTTAGTAAGGCATGAAATTTCTTGATCACTGACATTAAGGACGTATAGGCTATACACTTAATTCCTATTTCTTTAATTCATATTATTATTAAAAAAATACCTGCAAAATTTTAAACCAATTCCTGGGTTTTTGAAAAATTATAATGACTTA